CGCCCCTTCTGTCCCTGCTGGCCCCAGCTGCGCTGGCCTGTTTGCCGGGATCGGACGATCTGGCACCCGACGACTCCTTCCCTCCTCCCCCCCCAACCGCGTGTCCTTAGCCCGCCATGTCCGGCGCCGACAGCTCCTCCAGTAACGATGCTGGCCGGGTGATCCTCACCCTGTGCAGTCGTGGCAATGGTGCGCACGCACGCAAGACATGGCGACAGAGAGCGAGAGGGCGAGAGAGAGAGAGAGGGGGAGCATGCTCACGCATCTGGCCGCGCCTCACGTCTTCTCCTCCCCCTCCTCCGGCGCCTCCGCATGCCACGTACCTTCGTCACTCACACCTCCCTCCCCCCTGCCCGCCCGCCCGCCCGCCCGCCAGCCATCATCGCCGAGCTGCACCGCCTCGCGGACTACATCCCTCCGCAGTTCCGCTTCAACCCGTCCACCGCCCGGCAGCTGGCCATCCTCTTCCCGGACTTCACGTACCTCTCCACGAGCGAGCTCTGCGAGAAGCGCATCCAATCGGATCCCGTGCGCACCGCCCCCCCCCACCTTGATGACCGTCTCCCCCCCCCTCCCGCAGTTGATCTCCCGCGCGGTCCGGCCCCACGGCTCCCCTGTCGCCACCGCTGACCACCCTGTCCTGGCCTCGCCATGTCCCCCGGCGCTCGCGCGTGCAGGAGCTGCTCGAGCGCGATGCCTCCCTGCGGGACTCCCTCTTCGACATTGTCCAGCGCTTCTATCTGCTGTTCGAGTCCATCTACAAGTACTCCGACGATCTGGTCAATGTCATCACCGACCTGCAGGATGGCGTCTTCGTGCACCAGTCTCTGGAGGTGCGCCCGCCCTGCGCCCGCCAAACCAGCCCGCCCCACCTCCTTTCCCCCTTTTGCGTCCCACATGCGAGGGAGCTAACCATGCACTTGGGCTCCTGCTGGCCCGCTGCCCGCTGCCCGCTGCCCGCTGCCCGCTGCCTGCCGACGCCGGCCATCCACAGACCATGATGATCGACTTCAAGGGTCGCCAGCTGCTGGTGGAGGCTCTCTACCTGTATGGCTGCATGCTGCTTCTGATCGACCAGCTGATTGAGGGCCCCATCCGCGAGCGTTTGCTCATCGCGTACCACCGCTACCAGGTACGTGCAGCGCGCATGGCCCCCGCCCCCCGGGGCCCTCCCCCGGGGCCTTCCCCCCCCCCGCCTCTGTGCCCCCCCCCCCCCCCCCCCCCCCCCCCCCCGGCTGCCGACATGTCTGCAGTCCGACCAGGTGGCCGTGTCCAACATGGTGTCCGTTTGCCAGCTCCTCCAGTCAACCGGCTACCTGCCGGATCCGAAGGCCAAGCGCCCGGACAACTACCCGGAGGCCTTCTTCGCGCGGTACGTCGCCTTCCCTCCTGCCCTCCTGGCCGATGGCGGCGGCCGGGGGGCGGCGGGGAGGGGTCTTGCCCAAGTCGCCCGCCGCGGGCGAGTCGCCCCCTTCCACATCCCCTGCTGACGCCCGCCTCCCCCTGCCGGGCTCTCCCTCTCCCTCTCCCTCTCTCTCTCTCTCTCCCTCTCCGCCTCTGCCCCATTTCGCGGCCGGCGCCGCCGTGGCCCATCACCCGCAGCCAGCGCATCCCGGTGGATTATGTCTCCTTCGCCATCGAGCGCCTCTGCCTGGAGGACATCTACAACACGGCGACGCTGCACTACCAGCGCCCGGAGCATCGGTCGGCCGCCCTGTCGGCCCAGGCGGCCATGATGTATGTGATCCTGTACTTCGCGCCGGGGATCCTGAACACCGACCACATCAAGATGCGCGAGATCATCACCAAGCACTTCCCCCGGGACTGGGTCATCCCCTACCACATGGGCATCTCGGCCGACCTGACCGAGGCCTGGCAGCCGTACAAGGCCGCGTCCAGCGTCCTGCTGGACACCCTGAAGCAGGAGCACATCGTTCGCGAGGCCAAGATCTATGGGTCCTCGGTGGAGAAGCTCAACCGCATCACCGAGCAGTACCTGAGCGAGGTGCGCCCGGCATTTCGCCCCCCCCCCCCCCCCTGTGACCCGGTGGGCCCTTGGCCCCTCTCCTCGCGGTCCTGCCTCGCTCTGCCCCGCCGCCGCCGCCACCGCCGCCGCCGCCGCTGGCTTCTCACACTCGGCCATGTGTCCCTGCTCCCGTCGGCGGCGCCCGTGTACCATGTAGGGCACCCTCAGCGAGAATTACATCCTGGACAACTCGAGCCAGCTGCTGAACCACCTTCGCGACTGCAATGTCACCATTCGCTGGCTGCTGCTGCGTGCGCCCCCTCCCCCTCCTCTCTCTCTCTCTCTCTC